ATTTACAGTCCAATTTTATTTCCAGTGCTAGTTCATGATGTTAAATGAAAAAACACAGCCCCACTGAGTGATATTTTACTCTTTTCATCTGTAGCTTACAGTTGACCAAGGGCCTAGGAAAGATGGGAGGAGATGATAACCACTGCAACAATGGACACTAGAGTGTATATTAACTCACCCGTGTTAAATAGCACGCTTGTCTGACCAAAAACTAGCACGACATCTCAGGGTCGCAGTACATACTGCTCCCAGTACACATTACGAAAAGTACATTCGCTTATCAATAAGCATCACCGGGCACGAATGATAATATTCAGTTGTAGTATTGTTCTATCAAAGTAGCGAATGCATTGATAGTGTCAACCAAATCTTTACTTGACAATCGTCTTCTGTTGCTGTCCACTGTGGCAGTTTGGTACTCCTGCTTTTATGGACAGACCTTTTGAAGACTAGTAACACTGATGCAAAACCGGGCGTGCAGAGGAACGGGCAGGCGTTTTGGAGCCCTCCTGTGTGTGTGCAGATGGTGGTAGGCACCTCAGGTTGCAGCACAGGGGTGTGTTTGAGGAGCTTAACCCTGAACCACATCTGCTCTGTTTACCTTGTGGCTCTGGTTTGGTCTGTCTTTCCCATGGCTCTGGAGACCCATGACTTACGCGATCAGTTCTACATGGTTATCTCTCAAACTTACACAATTTCGTTCAAAATTAAGGCAGTTGGAACTTTTCATTTACAAGCTTTTGATAAATAGTTACACCCTTTGTAGGGAGTTCTCTGTGCGGGTGTTGTGGTTTAACCCGTCAGGCAGCTAAAACAACCATGGAGCCGTTCGCTTGCTCCGCCCCCCTTAGTGGGATGGAGGAGGGAATCAGAAAAGAGGTAAAACTCATGGGTTGAGGTAACAACAGTTTAATATGACCAAAAACGAAGATAATAATGATAATAATAATAGAATATACAAAACACGGGATGCACAGCACAATTGCCCACCACCCACAGACCACCGATGCCCAGCTAGTTCCCAAGCCATGGTCCTGCTGGCCAGCTTCCCCCAAGTTATGGACTAAGCATGATGTCATACGGTAGGGACTATCCCTTTGGTCAGTTGGGGTCAGCTGTCCTGGCCGTGTCCCCTCCCAGCTTCTTGTGCACCTCCAGCTTCCTCACCATGAGGCAGTTTGAGAAGCTGAAAAGTCCTTGACTTGGTGTAAACATTGCCTAGCAACAACCAAGATACTGATGTGTTATCAACATTATTCTCACCCTAAATCCCAAACAGAGCAGGGTACCAGCTGCTAGGAAGACAATTAACTCTACCCCTGCCCAAACCAGGACAGTGGGTTATCATTTTACTTCAATTCAGAGTGGACTGGTTTTTGCCCAGTGTCATTTTAGTACTGCTAATATTTCTTGTCACATTACTATTGTTATTAAAAGATAAAACTTTAGTAATATGTTGCATACCTCTCTTTCCTTCCATCTGAGTGTTAAATTTGTCGTTAAAACATTCTGCCATTCTTTTTATTACAGGAATAATAATAAACCAGGACCAGCAGCAGTAATATTGCTACAGTTCTTTAAAGTTGCTGTGATCACTTGCTACATTTTTTGTCAGACTTAAACTACTTGTGCTGAAATTCTGTACTCTCTTAATTAACTGATTGGACAAAGCATCTGAAGCTAGGATTTAATTACTTGAGGCTGGGACTGACCGTGCTTTTACCGGTTGGGTAAAGACTAGATCTGGACGAAAGGAATTTTGGGAATAATTAACTCAGCCTCTGAGAAAATGAAAAATATTAATGAATTTATCTTCATGGTATCCTTGTGAGGTAGAGGAATGACAATATTCCTGTTTTGTAGTTGTGAAGTTATACAATACAGGTTTCTGGAAACAATAGAATACCTATTGCAAAGAGTACCATACATGTGTCGTAATGCATATGTGCAAAGAGAGAATAGTAAGGTGGCAAAGATAAATTTTATTTTGATAATTCAATGAACTTCTAATGGTTGCTGTTGCAAACTTAACTTTCTTGTCAAGCAGAGATTCTATATATAGTATAGTGGACTGTGCAATGGAAATTTGAGCATATTGAAATACTAGCCTAAGTTGGTGTGAAAGTGTGTAATTGATGTCTTTTTCTAAGGATGATACTGAATTATGCCATCTACTGCAGTAAATTTGAAATCATTTCTTTGATTAATTGCAACAAACTGTTCTATCCTTCCTACTCAGTCCGACCCTGCCTTCCATCAACAGGTAGAAGAGGTTCTAGTCCTAAAAGAAATATTGGTGCTACTACGGCAAAGAAATATGGCATTGCTTCACTGCAGTTAGAGCTCATGCCTCTCCTCTCAGGTAATATTGTGGTAGGAAGGGGCAGGGTGAGAGTGACATGCTGGGTCTACTCTGTGTCTCCTCCTCTGACCCACCTGTGCTGGTGGGTCTGCCTGGAGGAAACTGTCTTCAAAGACCTCTAGAGAATTTCATGTTCTGGAGGAAAGCTGGCTGGTTAAGAGAGATTTGGGATTTGGTTTTGATCTGGGGGGGGCTGACATATGTTCAGAAGTCGGTGTGCTCTGAAGGACAGGATGTCAGAAATAACTCTGCATCGTAGTTCTCCATCACCATTGTACATCTAAGTTCTTTGATTGAGAATGTGTTGAAAGTAGGATATTGGTCAGAGTAGAGTGGGTTATTTCTGTGCTTTTCTGCCTGTGACTACATCAACATTAATTATTAATATATCTTGTCCTATTGTTGTGTGTAGTGAATTAAATCTCCCCTTTGTTCTGTGCGTGCAGACAGAAATAGCGCTATGTCATGCAGCATGGAACTCAGCTGCTGAGCGTATGGATGTGGCAAAGCTGCTTGCCAAGAAGCCAGTTTGTTTAAAGGTGCTTGTTTACCTTTAACAAAGAGTTTAATTTTGATGAGAAGTCTCTGAACTGCTTTAATTTTTGTGTTTATGTGAACTGTATATTTACAGCTTCAAACAGAAATAAACTTCTGTGTGCTTTGAGCAGTTAGCCGAAGTAGGGGTTCTGATGCTGCTTTGGGGACTATTTTCTTCCTTACTGTAAAAAAGAAATAATATTTGAAGCAGCTAAGCCAATACTTTTGTTTTATTTTAATATAAGTTCAGTGGAGATTTGTAATGAATTGCATAAAATATGTGTGCCTTGGTGGGATTGCTTCTATAACAGTATTTAATCTTGTATGTTTAAAAAGGAGAAAAGTCAGTGATCAGTCGTCTGGCAGAAAACAGTCCTAAAGTTTTAGATGCTTATGTGACTTTCACTGTGGAAACACCTCTTCTGTCTGAAAGACAAAGGCATGAATTGAATCCACTGATTATAAGGATTAATTCGGCTACCTGCCTCCCAAACACACCTGTACCAATAGAAGTGCTGCAGGTAACACATACTGCTACTTCTTTCTGAAAGAATTTGTTACCCTCAAGTAGCTTTGCTTAAAATATGGGCATGGTTTTAAAGATAAATTTCCTAAGAAGTAGCAAAATTGGAGAATATGACTAATGTGTTTCCTGAAACACATGTGGCCAGATTATGCCTATGTTATCATAGGCTGACAGCAAGACAGCAATCCCTGTGTATTCCAAGGGCAATAATTTCTATATAGTCATCTCATTTTGATTTCTGAGCAGTGGATCCTGAGTAAGCCAGAGACGATCTAGTTCAGTTGCAACAATTTGCTGACAAGTCAGCACGTGTTGACTTGCTCATTAGAACAACTTCTATTCCTGTGTTAAAAGTATTTAACTTAAGAAAACAGTGAATGTTTCATATCTTAAAAATGCTGTGCACAAAAAAAGTTCTATATTGGTGAGAATATAGTTTAAGATTTTTGGTCTTATATTTGTACATTTTGAGAGATGAGCTACAAAATATATTCTCTTTTCAAATGGTTGCATTTTTAGGCTTAAAGAAGTGCTATTTTAAAGAGGCTCTTTTCTGACTACTATATATGATTGATGTGAAAATGAAATTAAGGTCAAAGACTGTTGATTTCAGGAGCTATTTTCTTGATCCTCAGCTGAGGTGGAATTATAACCGGAAAGATCCGGTCTAAGCTGCATCAGCCTGAACCTTAACATTACTAGGATGTTTTGTTGTTGGTATTGTGAAAATAGTTTAATAATATTATGTTGGGAACTTTGTAATACACTCACAGTTCTGGGGTGGAGTTTTACACTGCAGGGCTTATGATGAACTAGGTGAATTGGCTTAGCATTTATGAAGAGAAACGGGAAAAAACATCAGTAACTGTGCAACATGATAAATAATGGAGACAAAACCACTCTGTAGTTTCTAACGCAACCTGCAGAGTGACCACAGACGTTTTGATTTTGTTTCCCTTGCCAAGTGGGGTACCGTATGAAATAATGAACTGTTTCAAATTTGGAATTGGCAGGATAGTCCTTGCCAGGTAGCCTCCACTGCATGCACTCCACTGTAATGCTGCTGGGTGCTTACTACAAGCATTGTGGAATGAATCCCCCTATTTGCTTCCCCAGATTGGTAAACAAATGGCTAATAATGCAGATCGTACAGTCCATTCCGTACAGTATCTCTGGATATTTGTTGAATTTCCTAACTTCTAGCTATAGGCCTTTATTTTAGGCCTCAAATCCTACAGATGAATGCATAGAGAGAAACAAAAAAAAAAATCTAGGAGCCATTGCAGTCCCCAGCATGCTCCCTTAATGAGCTAGAAACAAGGAGTTTTTCTGACATATTTCGAAAGTCAACAAAGTTGAGGATGGGCAAATGAAGGGGACAGTATATTCCCTAAACCCAGGATCCAGGCATGTAGAATGGCCTCTCTGCTGCCCTGGAAGACCATAATTTGTGCCATGAAGTTCATCCCCCATACCTTATCTACCAGAAAAACTGATTGTTCTGTGAGGTTAAAAATAAAAAGGAAAAAGGTTAATGCTACAAATATTTGTTTCTCCCTGTTTTTTGTTCTTTAGAGATTATGTGTTCCTACCTACTGCAAATACAAATTTCACAACTTCCCACCTCATCAAACTCACGGACAAATCCATGGAACTCACATCTACTTTAAGGATGTTAATGTACTTCTAACAGGGACAATGAAACCTGGGGAATTACAGAGGTACCTTAGAGGTCCACCTTTGGAGATTGAAGTTCATGACCGGGATAGAAACATGGAAAATGACACAAAAAAGCCGTGTTTGTTGGGGGAGGATGAAGCTGATGAAAAAGTGGGTAAGGTGAGCTTCCTTGCTTGCACACCCACAGTCTGTAATTCTTTTACGAAGAGCAAAGTGTGGCATCCGCATGGGGTAGCTAAAGTCAGTCTAACTGATTTACTGTTGGGTAAAAAGTACTTGACTATCAGTGCTCCCATCCATAACTGTTCAGCTCCAAATACATCTGCTTTCAATGAGGAGGATAAAAATAGGAAAATAACAGAATCCACGAGTAGTTCTTCCCTGTTACCTATGGGACATTACCTAGAATCAGACTCACTTTTGAAAGTAAGAGTGGAAATAGCTGTGCCATTGGGAGTGCACACAGAAGCTGATGATGCTCAAGTCACGAGTTGCCCATACGGTTGTATAATCTACATTTTTGACTACAATAATTCATTGTTATTACATGATTTGATGGAAGAGATTACAGAAATCAATGCTAAAGCCCTCCAGCTGGGCTGCTATCCTGTACACTTAATTGGAATGGCTCTTGCTGCATTAAAACTGAAAATCACACTTGAGAAAGTTTCTGAGTTGGATATTGTTACTGGTTTTCACTTACTGGATGGAGCAACTCATCTCTTTGTCTTGGAGGGATTAAAAGACAAAGCAATCAAGAAACTCTGGGATAAACACTTTGAAAGGTAAGAGAGTTTGAGGTTTTTCACCAGTCATTTCCTTAGATTCAGAGATTTTAATTTGATTTATACCTCCCCCATCCCTTTCTATACACAGATATATGGGCAAGTACATAGCTGATGCTTTCTGTTAATGGATATGAGACCTAGTGGCTGCTTCACTTGAGGCATAATCTTCTCATCTTTGTCTTGTTACGCCATAGTAACAAAACATAAACCAAAACTGGTCACCATGAGGAGGCTGGACTTCAAGCTGTTTCTTCCTTTGAAGAAATGTGACAAATTCAAAGTGAATGTCTCCCTCAAATTTCATGCTTAAAAACCAATTGATACTTTTTCCAGCACTGCAGCATGTTGTTAAAGCTTTCCTGTGGTTTGTTGTTTTTATTTATTTATTTAATGCAAGGCACTTCATTGCAGTTACTGAAATTATTAATTGCATGAAAACTTGTCTCTTATCAGTGCTTACCTGTGAACTAAATTGAAGCTTTGTTTTACTGCTACGGTATGAATTTTGGCATTTGCAATAGAAATGTTTTATATAATACTTTTGTAGCTATAATAAGGCTGGTAAGGGGCACAGCACCGATGAAACAGAGGTGAGCTTCCTTTCAAATGTTTGCCGTGTGACTTAAAAAGGAAACATATGCAACTCAGTTTTGATATTTTCTTCGTGATTTTTTAGAACAGTTCATGTGAAATGAAAGCTGTGTAGGAAGAGGCTCCACCTAAAGGACAAACGTGAAGCAGTTTCATTAGGGAGAGCAATTGTACTGCAGAACTGAGGAAACCTGAGTCCCGGGCTGATGGTTTTAACCTTGTCATTGGGCTGCTTTGTTACAGGGCTTACAGACATGAAGATGGACAACTGGAAATACTATATAACTCACAACTGTCTTTCCATCAACGCCTGTATACAGACCTGGAAGCTATCTTTTATCATTTCCGCCTCTGTAAGCCCCTCTGCACTATAACAAAACAGCCTCTGCTTTATGTCAGAGGTATGGTTCCTTGGGCCTGTTTCCAAGCCTTGTCCAGGTATGAGTCATCCATATTCGTAGTCAAGAAATCAAGAAATGAAATGTTAGCAAAGTAGAGTGAATATTTGATACAAAAAAATTAATACTCTTGGATATCTTTTCTGTGATGAAAGCAGTCTGTGGGCCTGATGAGTAATTCAGATTTTACATCAGGTATGGTAAGACAGAAGAACATGGTTTTTTAACTGCTGATGTGGTGGTAACTAGATATTGGTGGGCCCACTTTTAGTGTGGGCAGGACTTTATACTTTGTAAAGAAGAGGAGAGAGGTGTATCAGTAGGATAGTGTATCAGAAAATATCTGAATATAATACACATTGAAGAAGGAGAAAACTCCAGTATCAGAAGGATCAGCTGGGAAGGATTTACTTCTCTCTTCTGTTCTCATGGAGGTGGAGTAAAGGAGGAGGGCAAATAAGACTTGATAGATCCAGAAAGTCACTTGAACTAAGTGGGGAATTCTGAAACCAGTTTTCCTAAGGTGACTAGAGAAAGGAAGAGTTTTGTGAGAGTTGGGAGAATATTTCCTGTTCCTGGCTTTTTTGGGGGGGTTGTTGCATGATTTATTGCTGCATCTCTGCCAGGGTGCTGACTTTATCAGCATGCAGGTATTCACAGCCGTTTGCCTTAAAGCATCTCTGACATTACATCTCATGAGATGGATTAAAGAAAAAGAAAGTGAGCGAAGTCTTATGTGCATACTTCTCTCTCTATTTTGCTAATTTATGAAAAAAATTTCTATGCATGGTTTTTTTGTTTATTTGTAAATTAAGACATATCTATTGAGAGATGGAAAAAGGTACCATCCATCTTTGATATGAGCAGCTTGGATGTAGAAAGCAGAGATGAACTATGATTGCTTGCTTTCTTGCTAGAAATAAACTGACTAGTTTAGATTAACTTCTGAACCAAAATCCTGCAAAGCGTACTTAAAATGAATGGGGACATTGAGTCCTGAGACAAGAGAGAATGAATGTCTCCTAGACATCAAACTGATTTCATAAAAAATTCTTGTTAATGTGCAATAATATGCACATGATCTCATGGCAACTTTCCCCCTTGCCCTCCCACATGCTTGCTTTTTGGTAAAATGTGATCAATAATGTGTATTACATGTGGATTACCCATCTACTACAAGTTTTATTTTTTATATGTCAAGGCAGTTGCTGGCAGATGAATGCAGTACACCTCTGATCTAGCAAGCTGGTTTAGTGTACCTATCTGTTTCCCCTTGTTGGCTGAGCCATTCAAGTTCAAGAACTGTTTATTTGCTGATGACTAATGAAACCTAACATCGTTAAGCTAATGAAGAGCCAGGCCTTTATGCTTAAAGTTCTGAAGTATATTCATTCTAATGATCTGCATGTAACTTGGGTACCTCTTCACATATCTGTAATTTGTTTTGTGTTCGTTCTGTGAGATGGTGTGGAAAAGAATACAATATGAAAGTGACTGATGGCCATCACTGTGATGTCCTTAAAAGTACTTTTTTTCTTTTTCTTTTTTTCTTCAATAATGGTTGGTAAATACTTCTCTTCCTTTAGCTATGTGCCAGCAATATTTGAGGTAGAAAATAACATAATACTGCATATTTTAGATACTTGGTAGTTAATTTTCTTGTGAAATTCTATTGTAGTATCTCTTGTCAAAAAAAAAAAAACAAAATTAAATCAGCAGGTTGGCTGCTGCGCCCAACTTGCTAGATAGCTCTAGCTCAGGTTCTTGCAGTGTAAGTGAAGGTTTTGGGATGAGTGGAATAATTTTAAATGGCAGGGGTTCTTTTTCCAGTAAAGAGAAGGGAAGCTGCAGGAAGGATTACGATACTTCATAGTACTCGTTGCTATAAAATCAGAGAGAACCTCAGTTAAAAGCATCTTGTGTGGCTGAGACAACGTCCTTCCAACACCAGCTCTTTTCAGCAACCCACCATCACAGATGAGTGAATCACGTCTGCTGGGCATTGGGTGTTAGTCCTTTTTGCCATGCCCTCATTCTGCTGGGTCTGTAATTATTCAGAGAAATGCTAATAAATTCTTCACTGGAGTATACAGACTGCGAACTGTGTTCAAGAGCAGTCTCTGACTCGTAGAACTCCTGTTTTATTGGGTTTTGGTTTGCTGTGGTCAGTCACTGGTTTAATGTGTGCACAGCAGAAACTGCTGCTTCCAGAAATTAGTTGTAACTGTAGAAAAATTAATTCACGTGATCCATATGCACAGTGTCCAATTTAATTTTTAACGTTACCGATATAAACTCAGTTTCAGTGTCGTTAATGCTGATGCAACTTTGAAATGAATGTTATTTATCTGTTGTATGTGTTGTTCAGAAGTAATGGTAAGAAAATAATGTTGTAGTAATTTTACAATTCACTTCTTTTACAGTACTCTGTAAGGTTACCCTCCCCCAAATAAAGAACAGCTATGTGATAAATGAGTTAATACATTTCCAGTTGTAGCAAGGAATCGTAATGTGATGTTCAGCTATTAGATAAATCGCTTTATTTTGTGGCCTTTGCTATGGCCTGAGCCAGAGAGGCTGAGAATTGAATTTAAGTGCATGTATACAAAGCGTGTGTATGGTGTTCAATAGCTGTCATCTATTTGGAACTGCTTTTGTGTTACCACCAGGCTTTGCAGGCCAAATTTAGTGAATGAAATCAGCTGTGAGGTAAGCGTTGTCGTGAATAGCATGTAGAATGAAATTTGATCAGAACGAGGCATAAAAGAGAGGTAAGGCAGGATGGATTTTAGTGGGTGTTCAGCATAAATACGGGTCATACCCTAGAACCAGTGTGCATGAAGGGACCTCGCTTCATTGCCTTTCCAGCCAGAGGCTCGAGAAATTCAGCAGCTAATCATTAACTTGCAGCTAAATCTAGTGACGGCAGCATTCCTAGAATATTCCTAGTAGGTTTATTAAACTGCTAACCTTCTTTATTGCTGCTAAATGCCAGCACAAAGGACTGACCCGAACCTCCTAATAAACAGATGTTTCAAGAAGGTTGGATAGTTTTTCCACAGTAACATTAACTGTAGTGATTTGATGGCAGTAAAGTTTTCGCAAACTAATAAAATGTTGATGTCTATTTGTAGGCTCAGTTACCTCTGTCACAGTAAGAGGTTGAAGGACGTAATTCATGGGGATCTGCTGCCCTCAGCAGAGATGATCACAGTCTTGAGTCGTGAGTATGGAGTTCCCCTAACTGATGAGGATCTCTTCACTCAGAAACCTCCTTTACTCTTGGTTTCCTCTGATGATTATACAGTACCAGGAAAAGTTAACGAAGTGAAACAGGCAGTATATTCTTCATTAGATAACTACAACGAAGTGTGTGTGCAGCGGAAGAAAGAAATAGCAGACAGAATGTCTTTTGAGAGAAACCATATTAGGGTGAGTAGTTCACGATATGCAAGAGGCAAAACTTCATATCCTTAATCAACACCTCCTTCTTCTCCTGAAATAATGACTCATTAGACTTAAAAACTTTTGGCAAGGTGTTTGTAGGTATTGTGCAAATATTATAAAAAGTGCAGGGTAATTTTACTTTGCAAAAGTCGAATTGCAAATTTAATTGCTTCTCAAAGGGGAAAACAATTCTAATGCTTACAGGTAAACAGAGGAGAGAGCATGTGAGTGATAAGGAAACGGATTATTTAAAGGACTTGTACTTTATTTTTGGGTTTGGTTCCTATTTTTATTTGTCTCTTTCTTCTCCATGGCTCCCCTGTTGTGCTTTATCATGTCATCCAGGCTTCAGATGCTCGCCGGAGACCAAGCCAGCTAAGCGCATGTGAAAATTGTGCTTTCTTCTCCCTCCATGTGAAAGACCTGCTTGACTTTGGGCAACCAGAATGGCATTTATTCTTGACTAAATAAAACCAGCAATTGCAGACAGAAGTGAGCTGAGTTTTAAGGAAATGGTGAAGAATTTTAGAACCTCTTTTGGCTTATTACCATTGTCCATCCATCCCTTCTGTTGCCTCAGGGAAAATACATTGAAACGAAACCCTTTCCTGTAAACATAGGCATCAAAGAAGGGCTATCCCACATGTTTCCTGGGAATCTGGATTGTTTTTTGGAATATATTGCTTAGTTGAGGACTTCAGCGATCCCATGGTTTGTGAAGAATAGTTCTGAATGTTTTTTTCCTGTATATATTTTAATACAAAGAGGTTTTGCCTGATATGTGGAAATCTGTATTCCTGTCTTGGAGATAGTGAAGGTAATTGAACTCCTAAGTGTTTCCTTTTTCAGTCAAACTGTTGATAAAGGAGTATTACATGAAGCTAGAAAAGAAGTAATTGTAAAAAAAAAAAGAAGTAATCTTAAGTAATTGTTCCTGGTGCTTGTGTTTATAACATCGTAGGAGGATGAGAACAGCACAGCTTTTGGACCTAATCATTCTGTATAGGTTATGTATAGAGTTACTTTGTTATTTGTATAAAGTTAGCAGTCTTCCCAGTATACATGTTTTAACCAGTTTTCATTTTATACATGCTTTTGAATCCAGAGGGTAATAGAGGAACTGGGAAGTACTCTGTAGAAAAGAAAATGAAATTCTTTTTTAATAGCAGGTAAAGTAACCTTTCAGGCTTTTTGATTAAAAAAAAAAAAAAAAAAGAAAAAAAGGGAAATGGATGCACAGGGAAGTGACAACCAAAATGCAATTTTACTCTCTTGCTGTAATTACCTGTTGTGGCAGAGTCTGAATTCAAAGCCATAATTACCATGAAAACAGTAGAATGACGTTCTGAAGTCAACGAAAAGGTATGAGGGTTTAATTATGCTGTGCCAGTACAGAAATTTGAAGAGTCCTAATGAATGGTGTTTCCCATGTCACTGTATTTGCTGGGGTTTAAATGGAATCATAGAAATGAAAGAACTAATCTTACTTCGTTTGAAGCTCTCCAGGACAGCTATTGAGATCTGTAAGTAGAAGTCGCTCTGGTGAGTGCTTGCCTCCAGTCTACTGCCGTTAGTCTTGCAGAATGTCATATGCAAGGGTGAAATGGTGCTTTTTTTTTTTTTAATAGAGTCTTCTGTGGAGTATTTTATTAACAAAGAGCTGTTGTGTAATAAATCTATATGTAGATTTTTTAGTGGTTTCTTTTTGTTTTGGTGAATTTGCTTTTTTTTAATGTTTACAGAATTGTTTGCTTGTTTATAATTTTTTCAGAACACTCTGAATTACCAATTCAGACAGAACTCGGATGTAATGTCTCTTTGCAGGCTAACATTGGTGCTGTATGCCAACTCAAAGGAAAGATGAAAAAGCCAAAGTTTGAAGCTTTCAGGATTTCTCCTGTTGATGGCAAATCTGTCTTTAACTACAGCTGTCAGAGCCTGAATTCTGCGGAACTTGCAAAGAAGCATCTTCGCCAGGAAATGGCAAAGGTGAATTGAGACACGTAACTGGAAGACCTTTGCTTGCTGTAGATAGTGCTGTAAAGATAGATGAATAGGTTTACACTAATAACTCCCACGTTAGTGCGTAGGAAGGGAAGTTGGTATCCAAAAAGATCTCACTCTGAGAGGTGCTCTGGTGTAAAAGCCTGCTCTTAATGCTGTTCATTACAGTCAAGTTATCTTGTCTCTGTGACTCGGGCTGTCATTTTGACTGCGCACTTTGATAACCTAGGTGGTCGCTTCAGTTCTGAGTCCCACACATTTGTAAGTGGGAAATTCAAGTAATCGCAGTGTTGGCATATCCAGTATTAAGCGATGTGAAGAACACATTTGAATAATCACATTTATCTCCTTTTGTCTGTCTGACTGGTTTGAATCTTAATAACAAATGCTATTTTTGTATCAGCTGGTGCAAATTACTATAGCTCTGTGAAACCTCTTCATGATAGGAATGACAGTTCTCTTTTTGCTCAAATAATATTAAAGATATTTCTTCCTGTAATTATTTTACAGAGATCCCACTTGTCATTATATCCATCATTGGATCATAATAGAATGAAATTTGAAAACACTTTTTAATATTTAATGATATATATTTTGTAGAATTTTGATCTGTAATTCCTTGCAGACTTAGAGTCTTAAGGAAAGAAATTATACTGGTTCTGTACCTTATAGGCTCCTCTCCCAGCAAAGGGGAATTCACATTAACAACAAACAAAATTTCTTTTTTTTGTAGGAACCAAAGAACAGATTCACTTATTGTCATGACTGTCTGTCAGCCACATTCGACCCAGTGGATGTGGTTGCTGCCTGTAAGGAGTCCTTTGCAAAATCCAAGAGTATGTGGCTGTCACCGGATGGATTTGTATTTCCCAGATTTAAAAGCAGCATTGAAAGCAACCTGCACCCTCTGAGGCCTGATAAGGCACGTCTGGAGGAGCTAAGTGAGGTAACAGAAAACTGAAATGAACAGTCAAAAGTGAACGCAAGCGTTTTAGGAGACTCGAAAGAGGCAGACTGCTTTAGCATATGGAAGTCTTTTTTGAGGGGTACAGCCTAGGCAGCTCTTTTGAGGGTGACACCTATATTTGTTTGGATACACAAATTCTACCCTGAACATATACAGAAAAGCCATTTGCCAATATCAATTGGATATTAATAATATTAATGGACTACACAGTGCTTTGTTTTACATGTAATGGGGTCTAGTGTCAGAAAAATCATAATATTGCATTCCATGACAAATGGATTCCAGGCTGTTCTTCAGGAGTTGCCAATCTAATTATAGCCTTTGTGTTTTCAAATTCCCTCACTGCTTATTTTTCCTCCATCTTTTATTTACGGTTCGTAGTTACAGTTTTATGGGGTGTTTGTCCTCCACCCCTCCATTCTCTATCAGTTTCTTCCTGCCCTGTGTCCTCTCTCCCTTCTCCTGTTCTTTACTATTTAGCTTCTAGTTTTCTGCCATTTGACTGGGTCATCAACTTGACTAGTTTACAATTCCCTGTTTTGAACAGTCTTCAGCATTGTGTACACTCAAGCACATGTGGTCTGCCGTTAGGAAGAAAATTTGGATGTTAACAGAATTGGCAAGATGAGGAAATAAAGGGAATAGAATTGGGGGGGTTTGTGCAGGATCAGTAAATTCTACCAAATTAGTGTAACACAGTCACAGTGCAGAGTGGAACAAGCTGAATGCTTGGAGGCTCGGTATCATATCTTGCAAGAATATGCTCGTGGCCATTTAATTTTCAGACTTTATTTATTAAAGAAAAAAAAGTAGCAGTTGACTAGTATGTTGTGCTGACCATTGGCACCTTACTGGTGGGATGAGAGAGGGGAAGAGAGCTGACATCTTACCCTGAGTGGCACCAAGTGTAACCGGGCAGTACTGGTAGCTGTGTAGCATCAATGCTAGCCATGGAGCTGTGAGAAAAGAGGAAGGAGGCTCCTCCTGCCCAAGCAGGGACCCACGGGAATGGCTAACACTGCAGTGGATAATGGAGCTTGATTCTGAACTTAGCATTGCTGTTACCTGAAAGGTGGAACACAAGCAGAAAGCTGTTAGGATCCCATTCTGAAGCAGTCTGGTTTTGATACGTTGCTGCTTTAACCATTTCTGGTTTTCTTCTCAAACACAGAATCTGAACATCTTTCTAACGCTATCCCTTGGGAGGCAAAAAAGTCCTTGGAGTTCTTCCGGTTTCCTAAAATATCTCCATACAGTTTCTGTACTGACTCAGCTATCCTTTACTTTCACTCTTTTACCTAAAACTGTGCAGTTCCAGGGCTAACAACAGACAGTGGGAGTTAATTTGTAGTTTAGGAAGGATAGTTTTGTCTAAAAAAACTCTAACAGTATTTCCGCAGTGGGTAGTCAGAGCACAAAAGATGAACTCTATTTCAAAATTGTGACGATGACTATTCCTGCCATGATTCCTGTGCACGTGCTGCTTCTCTCACCTGCTTCCTCAGGACACCTGGGCTCTTGGCCCCAAGAGTTTGATACTCATGATTGTATTTTTAGAAGCACTAGGACAGCTTCTGCTTTCTAAAAGCACTGTGCTTTAAGGTTATCCTTGAGATGATATATAGCTCTTACTGTTCTGGCAATTCTGTGCAGCCAGCCCATTTCTTACTGTTGGAAAAGATAAATAACTAGTTAGGTTTTGAACTGGGTCTGTCCCATTGCGTGCAGGAAGATACTGACACGGAGTCACGTGGACGAGAAGGATGGTCCACGTTCGCCTGCGAGTTTAGCAGCTGTGCGTGAAATACAGGAAAGTGCATCAGATCCCTTATATCACTGCAGAGAAATGTGACATAAATATGAAATTGAGTCCCCTGCCAGGTATTTCTCAAGTGTACTGTAAGTGCCTGTGCGTTAGTTAACAGCTCAGTACTAGAGCATCAGCAGCTTGCTCATGAAACGGATATTTGTGGATCAAACACAACAAATTGAAAGACTGCTTACAGAGAGAAATAGCCTGTGTAGTGAAGTTTGGACTTTGGCGAGATCCTGTTACGGTAGCTGTTAGATCACTACCCAATAATCTGGCTAACTTATTTTTTGTGACTCCTCCCTGGTGATTTTGGCCTGGCTTCTTAAAGGGATTTAATTTTCATTTAGAAATGGCAGGAGAATGCTCTGCATGCTAACATGGAGCCAGTGCTGTCACGAGATAGATGGAGCTGGGACAAACGGCACGTTGATTTTGATCTTTACAAGAAACCACCTGAGCTCTTCATGACAACAGCCGTACGGACTGGTAATGGATCTGTTAAAATTAACTAATCACAAAGCTTTTAACTTGAAGCTCTGACATACGGTGCCGAAGCTTGTTCAGTTCTGCCATCAAGGAAGGGAGTTGGAATGCGAAGAGGTTTAGCAAGGAGATCCATGTACAGCAAAACTGTACTGTTTGTACTCTAGCAAATGAGGCATCGTAAGACCTTGGCCATACTCCAATTTTACCCCTCCATTTATCTAACTTCTTAACCCTGGTTCCTTTGTCTATAGTAAAATGTGACAGGAAGGTATAGATCCTTCTTGGCTTATTCTTCTGTAAAGCTAGAAGCATCTTGAGATTCACTGGAATGTTTACAAGCAGAAAATAGTAATTTTATTGTGGTTGCTGGAATCTTTCATCTTTTACAGCTTTTCTGCTGCACATTACTGTGTAACCTGCAAAACACTTGCTTAGTGCAGTTCTTCTCAAGTGCCTCTTACAGAGAAATGATTTTGGAGGCAGTCAGGATCAATTCTACTTTCATGTGTGTTTTACGGAGCCTACAGGACAGTGGATTGTCTTTGTGGGCACTAGCCATTATTTGAATACCTGGATCATTTGTTCTAGTTGAATCCTTTGTGTGAATGGTTGCAATCGAGCCTTTTAGCCTACTTTTTTTTTAGTTCAAACAGCCAAAACTTCTCTTTTCTATCTAATTGGTTTCTATTGCCTGGTTCTTCTGTTGTCGGCCTTGCGAAGATGCTAAGCAGATTCTGCAAACTATGTATGGTGATACCAAGCTGAAAGCTCACCGGTGCTCCACAGCAGCTGAGTTATCTATCCGTGGGCCAAGAGCCAGGTTTCAGCTACAGAAGCTCCAAGGACTTCTGAAAGATGAACCTCGGGAATTCTCACTCAGGAAGGCAGGACCAGTCTTGAAGGTAAGGGTAATGGTCTTTGGGTACTGGCCCTGGCACCTGCCTTTGCGCTGGCCTGTACTTTGTGGAAGCCAGATAATGTGTGATGCTCTTAATTTAGCACAATGCTTTTGGAAGTAAAAATATTTGTTAAAATTGATGTTGATAGCACTGGTTGATTCAATCTTACAAAGCTCTTAGAAAAGCCTATCGGCCACAAAATGATTTTTTTTTTAAAATTATTTTTTTTTGTTCTTTGCTTTGATGCTCAGGGATAATGGGGAGAATTTCTGTTCAACTAACTCACTCGCCTGTCAGCATGCAGTGAGTGAGAAAAGAAGAACAATTTTTGGCCAGCTGGCTTAGCAGCTCTAAAAGAAATTGTAATGTCCCCTAATGAAATGTAGGGGTCGAGGCGCTTCTATAGACTAGATGCCAAATGTCTCACCATGTGTTCTCTTCATTACCATAGTGCTGTATAGACTTTCTGAGCGTTGCACTTCAGCATTTTTTTGGTGCAAAAATCCCACACGGACACCCCAGTTTGTAAGACTAAAGGATTTGTGCTCATTAATATAAAGAGCTGTATGGGTGGCCTGCACCTAACTGTTCTTTTGTTGGCTGAATCCTAGTCAGTGCTTGCATCTAAATGCCTGACCCAAAGCCTGAGCCTGCTTTTAAAGCTGATTTTGATCAAAGGGACTGAAGCTCGTGGTGGGCTACAAATGCTCTAGCAAAGCAAACACAGGAACTACGAGAATGTTGGTGACAAAAGCAGAGTTAAACCTTTGAGGCCAACTCACTGCCACACCCACCTCTTTTTTTTTTTTTTTAAATTTGTAATATTCTGAGTGCAGGCCTTGTATTAAATGGATGCTCTGCAGCAAGCTGCCTGGCCTCCTCTGGTTGCAGCATCAGGCTTTGGGCTGGGTGTCCCTTTGTGCACTCGGTGCTTGGCTGCCTGGTTTTCATTTGGCTGTTTGTGGGAAGCCCGCGCTGGAGCAAGCTCCTGGCAGGACCTGTGGCCCCGTGGAGAGAGGAGCCCACGCCAGAGCAGGTTTGCTGACAGGACTTGTGACCCCGTGGGGGACCCACGCTGGAGCAGTTTGCTCCTGAAGGTCTGCACCCCGTGGGAGAGACCCAGGCTGGAGCAGTTTGTGAAGGACTGTAGCCCGTGGGAAGGACTCACGTTGGAGAAGGTCGTGAAGGACTGTCTCCCATGAGAGGGACCCCACGCTGGAGCAGGGGAACGATGAGAGGAGTCCTCCCCCTGAGGACGAAGAAGCGGCAGAAACACCGTGTGCTGAACTGACCGTAACCCCCATTCCCCCGCGGAGGTGGGCAGAGTTTGAAGCCGGGAGTGAAGTTGAGCCCGGGAAGATGGGAGGGGTGGGGGGAGGTGGTTTAAGATTTGGTTTTATTTCTCATTCCTCTACTCTCTTTTGCTTAGTAATAAATAAGATGAATTCCCTCTCTAAGTTCAGTCTGTTTTGCTTGTGATGATAATTAGTGAATGATCTCTCCCTGTCCTTATCTCGACCCACAAGCTTTTCGTTACACCTTTTCTCCCCTGTCTGGTGAACGAGGGGAGCGACAGAGCAGCTCTGGTGGGCACCAGGCCCCCAGCCAGGGTCAACCCACCACACCCTCTCATATCCCAAGTTTCTTGAACACATTTTTCAAGGTTTCCAACTATAGCCCGTAGGAAGACATTTCTGTCTTACCTCACAAAATTGGCTACTCCTTTGCAAAGACATCTCTTTAAAAAGGAGAGGCTATGTGCATTAACTTCTAAGGGACTGCTTTGGAAGAAGGATTGAAAAAAAAAAAAAAGTATTTTTCTTGTTGTTTTTCATAATTTCCAAACTAGCCTCCTTTTCCAGTAGAGTGTTTTTCCTCTGCCAGAAAAAAGAAACCAAGTGTCCTTGCTGGATGACATACCTGGGTGAAGGAACATAGAATCTAGACAAGATGGATGTATTACAGCCTAACGCACAGAGTTACGTTACATTACCACAGCATCATTTATTTTTCTGCTTATTTTTCTGGAAGAGTGTTTTCAGAATGGTGAACACAGTATCTCAGCTCCACAAGCTTGCTTAGTGCCATTGCCTTCTATTATCTGCTCGTTCTTACGCTATTGTGTTTTCTACTGATTTGTCTATGAGCACCTCCTCCTTCACCTGATTTTTTTTTTTAAATAGCCATCTTTGCTGTAGCAGCTTAGGGCTGGTTGCTGAGTGCTGCAGGTTTCCTCAGCTCTTGTCTGACCCAGCTATTTGATGACTGGGATGTTTTCTGCTAAATATTTCTACTCCCGTGGTATGCAAACAAACCACCTGAGGGCTGTATGCCGTTTCTGTGGCCGCCTCCGAGCTGGAGTGGAACCTTTACTGACTAACCTGACAGTGCTGGGGGTTTTTGTTTATTTGTTTGCTTTTTTTGGTTTTTTTGCTTAACACTAGGAATCAGCTCGTGATTTATCAGCTTGTGTATCTTAAAGGCTTGTGAAGCACAAAGGTTGCACATCAAGGCTTTAAGAAAAAAACCCAAAACCATCTCCAATACAGGCTTGTAAGCCCCTAGGAGTTAGAGCACTACGTGCTTTGGCTGGGTACATTTCCAGCCTTGCAGTTTGCCTCTAAGGAAAACACGCTGGGGCTCACTGATGTAATAGTGCGTGAGGGGGCAGCAGCTTTCATAGTCTTGTCCATGTTTTGGGGAATCGATGCATAAAGAAATTGCCTCACCTTGGAGCTCAAAGGCAATGTCCTGTGAGGGCAGATACGCCTCACTTTTTTTTTTTAAAGCCTAGCTGGCTGAGCACCTGACCAGATGCACTTTTCTTGTTCCAGGCTGTCCCAGCCCTGTCGGCATTGGCCGAGCAGCCCTGTGAGCCCGGGAAGAAGAGCAGCTTTGTATCGGGGCCTGCGGAGCAGCACAGCTTCACGTGGCACAAGAACGTTACCCCCTGGCACAACAGAGAGCGTGAGAAGGGGGGAAACTCCAAGGTGCAGCCTTCAAGTAAGACACCTAATTGGTAGCAACAGTACAAGGGGCCCACAGCATTTTATATGGTGCGTGTCAGAGTTACAGTATACAGACATTCTAATAATTACTAGTATTATAATAATAAATTACTAGGTCTATAAATTAAATTTTTAGGGTGTATCCCAGAGAAACAAACCAATTATCTAGGACAACTTGGCATTCTCGGGAGGTCTCCCTTTGAAGTCCAGACTCCAGAATTAAGGGATTAGGGTTCCTGCTGGTAAACATTGGCCCAGGGTGTCACTACGTGTTACTGCCATAGTTTGAGCTTGAGCCTTCCACAGGCTGTCACAGACACCGCCACTCCAGCCGCGTGCCTGCGTCATTTCTAATCTAAGAAGCATCAGGCTAGGTTCTTGAAGAGCAATGTTTACCTTTCCCATTTAGCTGCTTGAAAGTTGAAGACCTTTCATGTTATTTGAACTTTAATTAAACTGTATCAGATAGCAACTTTTGTATTAACAGGAAACTTGTAGTTATTACCTCAGGTACCTATGAAGGGAATGTTAAGTGGTTTAATTGGTAGTTTATTTTGCTGTCATGCCATGATGTAGTCTGAGCTACTGCTTCTCTTCATTATTCAATTCTTGCAGTAATGTAACCTTTCAGAATCCCACCCTAGATATAAATTGTGCTTAACAAGGTCAGTCAGACTTCAGCCTTTTGAGTGGCAACTTGTCAAATGATGACTCATTAGCTCCCATGTTGAACCTGCTGTTTTACTAGGTTGAACACTAGCTCCGTCTTTTCTTTTTTTTCCACAGCTGGCCTCTAGCTCCCGAAGGCAAGGGGGAGCTGCATTGCTAAGAAAACAGGGTGTTGGCTAACAAAATCACTGTTAGCTGATTCAGAACTACTAAGCTGTTAGCAAATTTTGCCACAGCCCACACCAATCTTTAACTGGTACAGCACCTGATGATCAAAATTCCTTATTCAAATCACACTTTCCTAAGAGTTGCTGAGCAACAAGAATGAAGTAACAGTTGTAGCAATTGGTAAAAGAAGTGCTGAGCTCATTGGCTAGTGCAGTAAATTATTGTACAAATTCAGGGGGGTTTAGTAAACATCTTTAATTAAAAAAAAAAAAAAATTGCAACCCTGTTTAGGAAATTGTAGATAGAGATACAGTTTAATCTGAGAGTCCTTTTTCATTCCAGGTTACTCTGCTATGAATAGTTGGTTGTTTTACAAGAGAGAACAATCTGCAAGAGCAGGAGGACGCAGCACCATCCTCACAACAGGAAGATCCTCTCCAGAATGATAGGCCAGAGCAAACTTATTCTGGATACAGGTAACCTGGTAAACAGAAAGCACTTGATGAACAACAGATAATTGGTAATGCACACCTGTGACCCAAAATAATTGCCTTCCTAATGAAATCTGGCCAGCAAATAATTCCCAAAGGCGATGTGAAATGCGTCACTGGACAAAACTGACCTTGCAGGGACAGCCGAGAGGTACCTAGATTAAGTTTGGGCCTTGGCAGGAGGGTAGGGGGAAAAATGTGAAAACAGTCATCTAGTCTGAATAATGCTCATGAAAAATCTATTGTCTTGTCAGGATTTTTTTTTTTTTTTTTTAAACCCAGATGTCAGCTTATATTTAAATAAACCCCCTTATTGTTTTTTAAAAAACAAAACAAAGCAAAGGGGCCAGTGTAAGGCTTAAGACCAAGGCCAAGCACAGAACATCAAGTAGTTCTGATTAAACACAAGGAAAAACATTCAAGTGGGAGCTCAGAGAGACAGTGCGACTCCCATCCTGAGGGACACTCAAAACAAGGGGGACAAGGCAGTGATGACTGCAGCTGGCGCTGCTCTCCGCAGTGGGTGGCCACAATGACCTCTGGAGGTCCTGTCCAAACTAAACTTGTGATTGTGCAAGTCTTTCAGTGCTTCTCAAAAGGTAAGCGAGAGCTGACTTAAGGCTAAAGATACTTACCAAACCCACCCAATGCCTTCCCTGTGAAAACACGTCTGACCCTCAACTGTCCGTATTTAGCTCCAAGGGAAACACATACATACATTTAATAAGAGAACCTGAGATCTAAGTAAATGTCTTTATTTATTCTCTTTATATGAGGTTGTATTTAGAAGTTTTATTTTACACAGTTTGAGCTAATTACATTTGGTAAACTCATGAAATAATAGTTATTTTTAAGGTGTCAAATACTTGAACTGCAGAAAATTAGTCACTGTTTTACATTCATCAGTCTTTGCTGTCAGGAGATGAATCAGAAGGTCCTGTCCAGCGGATGAGAACAGATATAGGCTCTCTTCTCCAGTACTTGCTTTGCAGCTTTTTTAATACAGTCATCCAGATTTTCATCTGCGTCTGTGGAGAAACAGAAGGAAAGTTAACAGAAGTACCGTAAATGGCTTTTCTAAATGTCTTCCATAAAGATTTTTAGAAAACAAATGCAAGTATGTACACTTCAATGACAGGAAATAATTTAACATTACCTTCTAAAAAAAGACTGATTATTGCAGACTGAGTTAATACTTAACAATTACGTATTTGACCTTTTTAGTTATCTACTATTTTCTTTACAAGAATATTTGCTACTGATAAATTTTTATGTTCCTCCCCACAGTTGGGGAAATAAAGGTATCACTGCAGTTTGTTCTACCTATTAAATGAAGAGACTCTTTATATTCAACCGGTACCAGTTCTGTTCGTCATCCTAATTAAAAGCAGAGCAAAACTATTCTGTTGGTCACATCAAAACCACCTACGTTTGTTTGGCGCCTGTGAAAGCCATGAGAGTATAAAAATTGCTTTATCTTACAGAACTCACATTTTTGTAATTGAGCCATGGCGTAATTATTCTTGAAATATGCTTCTGTGCAGAAGATATTTGTAAGAAGCACCTAAGAAAACAGTAAAAAAGGCAGTTAAAAACTAGTAAATTAATTTCATAAACAAAACAATGTAGTAAAAATACAGTCATTTAAATTCCTAAGCCTCTATTTTTGTCTCTTGATAATGGAGCCCTGCAAGCTAATCGGGTACAGTGCAAGCTTGGTTGCTATTTTTTCCCCACAGCTACTGCGTGTCAGAGTTGGGATGAGCTCTGCACTCAGTGCTGACTAGAAGACATTTGGGGTAATAAATCCAGACACGTTATTTGGGTAATAAATGCACACACAGAATCTGAAGTCTCAAGGCCAGTGAAGACAAAGGTTAATCCATTTGGATTTGTCTAACAGTTACAGCAAATTTACTTGTCCTGTAGTGTAACTGTTCCATGAAACTTTAAATGAACTGCTATACAATCACCTGTGTGTCAAATGCTCACTGTACTGTCAATAAATTTATTGATAAAATATTGTTGTTGGTATATATTACTACTTAGTCATGATTTTATGGAAAGAGTTTAGGAAGAACTGCATGGTATGAGCAGGTTTAGGAGAACATGCAAAGCTGTATTTCGTTCATAAATGTGTATGTATGTACATGTTAAAATATTTTAAATACTTCGATAGCGTGCAACTCCTATGTTCGGAGCACCTCTGAGGCAATCAGCGCGGTTACCACACTCTCGCACCAAGCAGTTTCGAAACATTCTGGTGCGCTGTCAGTTTTACGGGAGAGTTTGCTGTGGTAGATACAACTCCTTAACAAACGCAGAGCGTACTCTGAAGCGTAATGAAAGCTGTTTGTCATTGCAGTTTTGCAAAGTCTGAGCCGTGAGCGTGCAGCGCCGGCTGGTCCAGGCAGCAGCTGGTTAGAGCCCTGTAAAGCGTACGTGGGCTGTCACGCTCCAGGGAAAGTCTGAGGCTGGACAGTGCCTCTTTATTCCACAACAGGGAGCGAGGCAGAACGGGAATAAATACCCGTTGTTACGCTACATGCTCCAGGGAGCGCAGGCATTGGTTGGGTATGGCTGGTACTAAAGGACACTCACTTCATGGTCGTGGTTTCTTAGACCAATACTGATAGACCGGCTGGCTCTGGAAATAGCTGCTGTCATGGCGTATAAATTAATGATGATGTCTGCCACTCTCTTCAGAACCAACTGCTCATCCACTATTGTCTACAAGAATAAAAAGTATTATTAGAAGGTCATCAATTATTTAAAAGTTTAACCAATTTATAATTTTCATATTTACGTAGCATAGACAGGTAAGTTAGTTGTTATATAGCCTTTCCACCCTAAGTCAGGAAGTTTTGGATTAACTATGCTCTACCTTTTAATGCTTTTGGATGAACTATGTTTAAACTATTAAGTTTTAGATTAACTATGTTCCACCTTTTAATGGTCTTTCTGGCTGCAGCCAACAGTAAAATCGCTGTGTCTTGAAACTACATTGGTAGATGCCAAAAATCACTGACAATTAAGTACCAGATACATGGAGCCTGTTGGAAAAAAACGTGCTCAGTAAGGTGGCACGTGGCAGGGCCTGGTCTGACACACACACTCGGCCCACATCAGCTTACGTGTCACAAAACTGAAACCCCAGGGTATTCGAAGGTCAGGCTCTCCTGTTTTTAACTACACCACTGTGTATGGCGTAATGATAGCTTTGTTTGCTGGGCACTATGAATAACATAAATTTGAAACCTGCTGGTCCAGCTCTTTGGGAAGACTGCTCACAGCATGTGCTTCAACTAGTGCCTGGAGCAGGCGGGCTTTGTGCTTACAGCGGTAGAGGAAAACAACTCATCACTGAGATTGTGGGGGTTTTTTTGGTGTGGTGTGTGGGCTTTTGGTTTGTGTTTTTTTTTTAAACTGTAAGTTGTCCATGACATCAATACAGAATTTCAGTGTATCTCCTCCTGTGTGAAGGAAGGCCTGGCTCATACCATACAGCGTCCACTTGAGCTTCTAGCGAGGCCAGTTTGGTTGAGGATAAACTGTTCAGTAACTGAAGCAAACAGCAAAAGTAATAGTTACCTTGCCAAACCTAGTTAGCAGGCCTCTCACTGTAGTTCCAAAATAATAAATATTTTCTTCAAGTTTCTTGCCACTTTCCTGTGAAATAAAACAGAAAATACAACAACTTGAGTAGTTTTCTGAGGGAAGAAACCCCCCAGCTCTTGCCCTAGGTGACATGGCCTTCTGCACCAGAAAGCAGCTGCAGGTCAGGATTTCAGGGGGGTGGTGTGGTGTGGTGGTGTGTGGAATTTAGCAGCCAAGACACAAATTAAGATTTCTCCACTACAGCACAAAACTAGTTTTCCTTTCTTAATTAGCCAAGACTGAAGTGTAGCAGAACACTTGTCTGGAACTGATTTGGAGTGAGCCAATGAAGGAACCACAACCACCCACCCAGTGGAACAACCAACAGCCAAGTCTACTGACGACAGCAACGCTGTAAGCCCAAGAGGCGCACCCCGCCACAAGAACAAAGGGTCCCGCTACAAAAATGGCAGTTCAATTTTCTGCTAAATGCAGTCATCAACGTCTAGTCACGGACAGAATTCCCTTCTAAGGTGATCTTTCACCATTTTACATCCTTTTCTTCCCAGCTAAAAAGGGGGAGACCATTTCCTTATTTACCTGCAAGGCGTGGATTACAAAATGTTGATTCTTTTCTGAAGGAAAGCAATCCCTGTTTAGCTGCAGCCCTGGTACCCTGAAGCCTCACTAACACAGGATTTTCACTTGGCTAGCACTGTTTTCTTTAACATTCAGTCAGTTTGCGGCTGAAAGCCAGACAGGCACTATTCTTTTTTCTATAAAATAATGCATTAAAATGTTCTAAATTTTACTTTTGGTAATGGTTCATGACAGTCTTATTTGCATGAGCATAAATAGTTTGAAAAATTCTTATGCAACATTTGCCTCTGCACAGCAAACCTAATTATTCTAAGTGCTGCAGGTTATGAAAAATCCTGAGGGAAAAAAAAAAATTTAAAAAAAAAAAAAAATCAGGATTCTCTGGTACTACTGTGTGACATCACCAATAGTCTCCAATTCTGGTATAAGTAGGAAGAAAATTGCCAGTATCATATTTGGCTTTTATTAAGTCATAAACATGGTAATTCATAGTGCCACTTTGTGTAATACGCCTGTAAGGGGCTTTGAAGCTGTTTAGAGGCAACGTGACTCTAGCACGTCCGCTAGCTCAGCACTGCAGCAGGGCCCCAGCCTCGCACGCTGGTGGCACAGCGTAGTTACCCCAGGGAGGTGCCATGGGTGACGCTGCCGTACGTGAGCGGCGCAGCACTAGCCAGCCCTAGCACATCCTCTTACCTGTGTGCCTGAGCTACCTGACCTGGGGCAGAGGTGTACCAGCAGAGCAGGAAAAAGCATTT